ATCTTCCAAGTATTTAAGGATTTATAATCCCCTACCCCCCTCCCCCTTACCCACCTAAGGGTCTCCAGAGAGCCCACGATTTCTCCTTAATTACATCATAGCAAGAAGCCGAATAAAGCATTCAGGAACACTCCTGAACTAACGGCACTGTGGAGCCAAATATAGTCAGGAAGTATGCCCCAGACCTTCATAAGAAGCGCCGTGAATTGTTTTTCTTTCATGGGATTTTGGAGTGAGCTCTCAGGGACCTTGCCACGTTTCCGTGACCTGTTGAAATGTCTGTATGGGCCCTTGCCTTTCCTGTGGCTCATGCGGGCATTCAATCTGTCCAGAGCCCGTGCTCATTCAGAGTAGCTCTAACCTGGCGTGCGATTGAATCCTAAACCAGAGACCCCTTGAACCCGAACAGCCTCAATCAAGGCCCTAAACCATAAAGAATGAAGACCCAGAAACCCCTCAAACCCTAAAAGCCTCAAAACCCGAAACCCTCAAGCAAAAAGACCCAACAAAAAAAGATGTAGTAAAGCCCGGAGCCATGAACCCACCTGGTAACCTCACATGAAAAGCGACCTGGGGATTCCACTCAGAACTTGCGATAACATAGGGGCTTGAATAATTACCAATACTGTGTTTGTTTTTTGTTTTCTTCTTTTCTTTTTTATTTTTTTTTTTTTGGGGGGGGGGGGGGGGGGGGGGGTCCTGCTTATAACTATCGTATAATACTATTCTAACCCTTAAAGCACTCCAAATACCAACCGAATACGACTCTTCGGGTTGAGGGATCCCATGAAGGAGCCCGAAATCCCTGATACCTTGAACCGCAAGCCAGAACTCTTCAATTGCTCTGTGAAAACAGACCCGCGCAAGTGTAGTCCCCTAATCTGGAAACCTATACTACTACAGAAGGGTACAGTATGGGAATCCCCTTAAGGGATCCATTTTTTGGAATTCCCCAGGGCTCTGGGAAATTGAGATGTGAGCTCGAAGCTCTGGTCGTGTTGCTTGGTTTGGGGCTGAGGAACATGGACGCTACTACAAAAGCCTGAGTTACTGGAAACACCATGCCGTAGGGTTCCCCGATGCAGTTGAAAAATATTATGCCGCAACACGCTCTCCCTTATGGGTTGCCCAACATAGTTTCAAGTGTCGTTGAAATTCTCAGCAAGACCCTGTACTAGTTATGAAGGCCCCTCTATTGGAGTTCAGAGTTTCGGGTTCAGGTTCTCAGCAGGTTTAGGATGTCAGTTCTGGTGGTCTACACGTTGTAAGTTCAGGGCTTTTAGGGTGTTAGGCGTTCAGGGTTTAGGGTCTTGAGGTTTAGTATATTGGATTTGAAAGGTGGGCTTTGCTCTACTGATTACTGCCTAAAATTGTCTTTGCACTTGTGATCTGTTTCTCCCGCTTAGTGACGGTGACGCGCTTTAAGGGCACTTCTTGGGTTCAACCTGAACTCAGACCTCCCTACACTACTAAAAGTGGACTTTATTGCAACCGCCCGTTACAGGACCAATCGGGGGTCTGGGATTAATGTTAGGGCCTTAGTACTTCTTCCACCCAAAAGAACTTTGGGAGGGTTCCTTAGTATGATCTCCGTAAATACGTCCTCAAAAAGAAGGGTTGTTTGGGGTTGATGTAGCAGAGATGAGTCTGGTTAGGGGTATGCTATAAGGTACTTGTAGTAAGGAGCCGTAGTGAATAATGTGATTTAGTATGCACGCCCAATTTATTCGTGCCAAAACTTGAACACGAAGGGCTCATGCGAAAAAATCCTGGGGATGCTTATGCTTGGAACTAGCTTCCCGGACCCGCTTAACGGACCTGCAAGCCTGAAACCAGAGCAGCCCCCCCCCGTCCAACTACGCCCCAAAGGCATCCTGCTCCTGCATGGCTGTATAAGGCTCTTGGTTCTCTTGGAGCCCTTGAAAAACAGGTGTATCCTAACCCATGGCACTCTAGGATACCTTTTCGTGCAAGTTCTGTTCTTGGAATCCTTCTGAGGGTCTGTCTACTGCAGTGCACCTGTGTTTCGACCTACTGCGAAAGCACCTGAAATCTCAGCCTGAAGCTTGGAAACCTACCTGTGGATCCACCCGGCCTAATATGTACCATCTTTGTTAGTGTTTAGGGTTTAAGGCTTCAAGGCTTTATGGGGTCGAAGCCTTCTCTTCCTCGGGGTTTGAGTCCGAAGGTAAGCTCTGAAGCATTCACTTCACTTCCCAGACCCCCAAAGAAGGATCTAGAAAGTAGATCGTCACCGGAGAATCAAGCGAAGCCCAAACCAAAGAATTCGGACATGACTTGCCCTTTTTTTGGGGCTTGGGACCGAAATACCCAAATCCAGACATTTCGCTGTAAGGTTGCTAAAGAGGTACTGTAGGGGTTGCGGCGGATGCGGTTAGAGTTTCGATAAGGGTCTCGGGTACATAGGGCTGTCATAGGGCTACGATATGGTTCCATTACACGGTCAACCCTGCAATCTTCGTGCTCGTAGCTAAAGTAGCCCCTAAAGCCGAAGACTCTAGCCACCCAGAGGTCCTAATACCCCTTAATTAGGTTATATAGCGTAAATCATAATATGAAGCCCTATATAGTTCAAGCCATATTCCTCAATTAAGGGGTATTGGGCTCTCTGGCCACAAAGCAAAGGGCAGAACGCACACGTTGTCGTTGTTTGGCTTGTCCTGCTAATCCGATTCTCTGAAGCCTACACCCCCAAAACCCCTAAACCCTAAATTCCTAAACCCCTAAACCCTAAATTCCTAAACCCCTAAACCCCCTAAACACTTACAGGGCGCCGAGCCAGGGACCCCAACCCCTAGGTGCAATCATAAAAGCTTGCACTCTGTTCCCAGACCCCCTTTGGAGGATCTAGAAAGTAGATCCCTTAATTTGGGGCCCTATACTAGTAAGGGTACTTTACAGGAACCCCGATTAAGGGATCTACTTTTTGGATCCTCCCAGGGGTCTGGGTTAGTGAATGCTTATAGATAGAAGCCTCACCTAGGGTTCCTTGTTATGTCTATAGTTCAATCTACCCCAGAGCCCCGTTATCAATAAGGCCCTCATAGTCTACTTGGAGGGTCGGGGGACTTAGTATATAGTTATTTTAGAGAGTTATAAGTATCGTAACCCCTACTTAGGGTCCCTATTAGGGTACTTATAAGTCTACTCACTACCTACTTACTAAGTCCCCCGACCCTCCAAGTAGGTATGGGAGATCTCCTTTGGGTGCTTTGGGGCCCGCTGGAGCCTCAATTCTTACCCAGACCCCCGGGAGGATCCAAAAAGTAGATCCCTTAATCGGGGTTCCTGTAAAGTACCCTTAGTAGTATAGGGCCCCAAATTAGGGGATCTACTTTCTAGATCCTCCAAAGGGGTCTGGGAATTCTTAGCTGCATCTCTTTTCAAGCCGGTGTGCACGGAAGAAAAAGGGAGTCGGCGGTTTAGGGTTAACGGTTAAGGCTTAGGGTTTCGGGTTTAGGATTTAGGGTTTAGGGTTTAGGGGTTTAGGGTTTAGGGTTTCGGGTTTAGGGTTTAGGATTAGAAGAGTCATATTTGCGATGGACAAACCACTACTCTTAAAGCGTACCGAGCGACACGGTCATTGCGGACAAAACAGGTTTCCTGCCTAGCAGCAGCTACCCAAGGCGCGCCTCAAGTGCTTTTCTGTAAGCACGGTTTTAAGCCAGATCTTTCCTATAAAGAACCGCTTAGTTTAGTAGTATCGGGTCCCACATTAAGGGATCTACTTTCGGGATCCTCCCGGCGGTCTGGTTATGAACGGTCGGATGCCAAGTTGAAATTCTTGTCTCTACTATTGGGGCTTTAATAATCGCCTATACTATTTTGGGGGTTCCTTGTTATAATTATAGTAAAATATACCTCCAAAACCCCATTAAAATTATTAAGGCCCTACTGTAGATCCTCCAGGGGGTCTGGCAAAGGAGGTAACAATGCTGGGCTGGATCCGATGCCCAATTTCGGGTGAGTCTTAGACCATAAACCCTACTCACCTACTCCCTGAGCCCTAAGCCCCGAAATCCCTAAACTCGAAATCTCCACGCCGTAAGGGCCCTGGACCTTAAACCCTAATCCCTGAGCCACAAACCCCTAAATTCGAAATCTCTACGCACTGAAGACCCTAGGACTGCAAGAATATTGAGTCGGATCTCCGGACTCGTTCTTGGCTACCGGCTTAAGGGATCCTTGAAAGGCACCTTTAAAGGATCCCTTAAGGGGTTTTAAAAAGTTTAGAGTTTGCTATAGTCCAACAGAAATTGTTTTTTGTTCATATGAAAAGCCCAAGGGAATATTAAAACTATTAAATTTATCGTGGTTGCGAGGGGGTATAGCCTGTGCAAAAGCACAGGGGAGCCATCTGTCAGATCTTTCCGGGCTCTATGTAAGGTTTAGGGCTGTGTCTCGCCTACACTGCCTAGCTCCGCGCAGAGTCCTGGGTGCATAGCTTCGGCATAGCCGTCGATTACGGCAACAGCAAAATCATTGGACAGTTTGCAACATGTTGCAAGACATGCAGGCTTCGTTAACTACTGTTGATGGACAAAATCCTGCATGACCTTAAGCACCCTAAATTATGGGGGGTTATGGTATATTCCTTATATTGGGTCATGCAGGATTTTGTCCATCCACCTTAGGACCTGAATCAGGCCCTTATTCCCTTTTTCAGGGTTCTGGTTCCCTTATAGGCCCCTTTAAACCAAAAAGGGCACCCTTTTTATTCCTAGGTTACTCTTGGGTCTAGTTACGCATCCTTTGGCAGACAGCTCTCTTCCAACTTTAGGCTCCCCTGCTTGGAGGGCCAATGTCTTCACCATAGACCCACTTGGAGGGTCGGGGGACTTAGTAAGTAGGTTATAAGTAGTAGACGTATAAGTGCCTTAAAAGGGACCCTATTTGGGGTTATGGTACTTATAAGTCTCTAAAAGAACTACTTACTAAGTCCCCCGACCCGCCAAGCAATGCACACAGCGTCCGTGCAGGCGTGCTACCAAGAAGCGCTGCATCTCAACCCGGAGGCACCAAGCTCCCTGAGAATCGCCAAATCTATTCTTGGACTTAGGGTACTTAAAGGATCATGGGAATCATGGGACTTAGTAACTAGGGTTATAATTAGGGTAACGATACTTATAATTACTTATAGCGCCAATTAAGGTACTTATAACCCTACTTACTAAGTCCCATGATCCTCCAAGTATTTAGGGAATGCAAACTTAACGTTGAACTCAGCGTCTCTGATTTATGTTAAGGGCTGGGGAGTTTGTGCTACTTCATGCTTCAAGCAGACTTTCCAGTGCGGTCGCATGGCTCGTGGTCGTGGTCCTTGCCGAAGTCCGGCGTTTAAGGTTGAAGGGGTGCCTGCCTAATCTATGCTCCGTGCTGGGTAGTCTTACTATGAGAATGTCGCACTCTGACATAGAAAAAGGATGTAACACGAGTTCCCAGACCCTCGGAGGATCCAAAAAGTAGATCCCTTAAGGCGGGTTCCTTTTTACAGTAACCTTAGTAGTATAGGGCCCCAAATTAGGGGATCTACTTTCTAGATCCTCCCGGAAGTCTGGGTTCGCAGAAGCCTGCGAGACCCAGAATTCGTCCCTGTGCACCCCAACAACAGTAGTATACCCTAAACCCCAAACCGTGATCCTTTACGGGACATGGGATTCCGAACTCCTGATTATCAGAGGGTTTTGAGTTTGGGGGTGTAGGAGTTTGGGTGTACGAAACATGTTAAAGGCACCCTGTATAGAAACGCTGGTCCTAAATGAGTACCAATACTATTTTGCGGGGGTTCTTGTTTACAACTATTCGATATACATACTGTATGTTACAAACCCTTAACCCTGCAGGCACCGGAATCTCAAGCCCGAAGCCGTGCACAGCTGACAATGCCAAACCTGACATTGTCAAAACACCTGCACCAGATGCGGACATAGAGGCCTACGTAATCACGAACATTATTCCTTAAGGTTCCTTGTTATTCCGGTTCCTTATTATTCCTCAAGATTCCTTGTTATTCCTTAAGGTTCCTTATTATGACTACTCCATACAGGAGCCCGAAACTCTGCTATAGCTATTCAGGTTAGAGGGGCTTCGGCTCGTTTCTGTAGGGTGGAGGGATCGCAGACCCCTCGGGAGGATCTAGAAAGTAGATCCCCAGGGCCTATACTGCTAAGGGTACTTTAAAGGAACCCCCATTAAGGGATCTACTTGTTGGGTCCTCCCGGGGTCTGGGATGTTTAGGGTTGGGGACTTGGGTTTGGGTTGGGCTTGGGGTTTTCAGGGTAGTGGCAACATGTACTCGGAGGATCGGGGGACTTAGGAAGCTGGTTACAGCTGGGGTTAGGAGTCACCGAATCCGTTTCATCCTCAAGGAAATCATAACAACATAAGAAAGGTAGGGTTGTTGCGGTTCAGGTACGGGTTATGATTATGATTCAACTGTTAGGGCATTTGCACTTCCAAGTCACAGACTTGACATCGTCGCAGGATAAATCTGTGGAAGAGGCGTTCGGCGCTGAGACAGAAGGGGGCGTACAGCATCTGGTTAAAAGACAACGTGTTTGTCGTTTGCAATTGACCTCCAGCTCCAAGGCCATGGCATACGCATCCATCGGTGCACAAGTCTTTTGATTCACATGTACATTGATGTCATGTGCATGGTGTGTTCTATGTGTGTATGCAACAGACGTCAGAAGTTGTGTTTGTGTGTTTGCGCTTGTATGTGTGTGTGTATATATATATATATGTATGTATGCATATATACATATGTGTGTGTGCGGTACGCCATATCTGTAGGTATGTATAAATACATACGTAAATGCATGCACATAGGCGAAGGTGCACATGCACATCGTTTCAAACATAGTCAGGTCAGCTTCCCTCAATATTCAAATGTCTGTGCAAGCAGTACGTGTTCCGAGTCAGCATTGAACTGGTCTCCAAATCCCTTTGGGCCACGGTGCCTGGTGCCACACCTTATGAGTTCCTGAAACCTTAAACCTGCCCCTAGGCCATACTTACAAGCAGCTGATTGGACATTATAGCACGTCGGGCACGCGTGGTAAAGCTAGGTGTGTGGCAGTGGGCTTTAACGACTTACTGCCTTCCATGTGCCCTGACCCTGGGACTTTGATTTGCAGAGGGGTGTTGGTGTGTCAAGTTCGGAAACACACGATACTACAACTCGGTAGGCTCAGGGCGGAGGCCTGACTGTCAGAGGTGCTGGGTTTGTTGCAGCCTTTTGCTGGAGAGCCTGTGAGAACGACAAACCCTGGATCATACCCGTACATTCCTAAGCCCAACGCCCCAGATCTTCAAAACCCGGGCGCAGCACCCGAACTGCAAATCCCTAAACCCTGCCTGTACTCACCGATGCAATTACGTTGAGGGTTGAGGAAAGCATGGCAGTCAAGAGCGGGAACTATGCTTGAAGGGGTAAATAAGGGGCGCGTCACCATCGAGTCCAGTCATGTCCTGTCAGTGTCTCTCGTGAAAGAGTCGCTGATGCATCATAGGGCCGAATGAGCACTTATTGGCTCATTGGCATTGATCGGGCACCCTTTGTGAGCTAAGTTCGGCAGCCTTCCAGAGTCCCGGTTCGATTGAAACACCTGTTCTGGAATTGGATCGTCTGCTGGCGATCATACAAGATGTCACGCGTAGTCGCGTCCACGCTTGCAGGCGAGACCCAAAGTTTGCTACTGCTAGTGGCATCTCCGAAAGGATGAGCTTGATGGTGTCGGAATCAAGGGAAGGGTGTTCTGATCTTAGGGACGGTCACGATCACCTCAAATGTGGGCCGACTACCGGTGTCACGGACTGTAGCTCCCTTTTTGAACCCAAAACCCATCAAAATCTAGGTTCCCCCGTGGTACCCTTTTGCCATTTTTCTTCTTGGGTTCCCGTAATAAATCCAAACAGTAGGAAAAAGAGCCCCTTCGTCGCGAAAGGGCTACTGGGGAACCAAAGCGCCCTACAAAACCTAAACAAATCTGAAGATCCTGCATAGAATCCATCATAAATCCTAAACTTTCCAAACTCTAAGCCTGAACCCGTAAACCCCTGCAACCCCTAAGCCCTCAACTCTTCAACACTAACCACGAAGCCCAAAAAGGCTGGAGCGCTGCCTGCAGCGCAAGCGCGGCGGGGCTCCTACCGGCGGCGCCGCGGCGCCGTCGCCCAGGGCCTGCTTAATATAGGGGCTTAAATAATTACCTATACTATTTTCGGGGTTCCTGATTATAAATATAGTATAGTGGGCCCGAAAAACCATTCTAATTGTTAAGCACCCTGCAGTTCTGTGGGTTCGTTTGGAGGATCCAAAGGTAGCATCCCTTGACGGGGGTTCCTATAAATTGCCATTGAGTAGCACACGATCCCAAATTAGGGGTCCTACGGTTGATGATATTAGGGTTCCTTTGAAAGGGGTCCATAAGGGTCTCTCTAAGGGGCTCCATTAAGGTATCTATAGGGGGTATAGGGTTTAGGATATAAGTCCTGCAGTACCCATGATAAGGAATATACCACAATTCCCCATAGTTGAGGGTCCTTACGGTAATGCAGGGCTGATATCATCAACCGTACTTTCTGGATCTTCCCGGATGTCTGTGTGTCGAGGCTCCTATACTGGGAGGATCGTGGGACTTAGTAAGTAAAGTTATAAGTATCTTAATTGGGGTTATAAGTAATTGCAAGTATAGTTGCCTGAATTACAACCCCAGTTACTAAGTCCCATGACCCTTTAAGTAGGTTTCTGAAATTTCCAATAGGTTTGATGAGATTAGGCAGACCCACCAAAGTGAAGCTACAATCGCGGTGCTTTCGTGCAGGGTGTGGCAGATCGGAATGTGTAGGGCTATGAAACACTAGCAGGATATCCACTATAGTCCCTCATCATATACATATATATATATATGTTGGATGTAGCCTGCGACTTATAACACTGTTCTAGTCGGCTGCTGCACTGGATGTGGAGAGCACCTGGAGCTACGACCAGGTGCGCTTAGACAGAAATATGGTTTGGGGTGGATACCCCAAAACTCCAAAAGCCCAACAGCCGACACCTTGAAACCCTAAGACCCTCAACGCTGAAGCCTTGAACTACAACACCCTGCTTAAAGACGCTTATTAGACGCCCTCAAACGAGGCCTGTATATCATAGAGCCTGTCTAGTAACCTTTAATGCAACCCTCCGTAGTTGTGAAGTCCCTTATCCGAACCTTTCGCCGTTGGTGCAACAAATCCCTCTGACACCGTCATCGAACCGCTACCCTACAATCGAATTCATTAAGAACCCTAAACCCTAATATTCAAATTTATTAAGGCCCTAAACCCTACACCCTATTTCAATTCATTAAGGCCCCCGAATTGCACCCCTTTCGCGATTCGTGCATCACATCCCTTTGACACGCCAGGGCCACAGGTGACCTCCGCACGGCGGCCATGCCATCACCCGGGTGCCCTTGGTGTTGTTCTTGTAGGGTTGCTGGAAGGGTTCCTTTTGAAGTGGTCTATAAGGGTTGCTATAAAGATTATGGGGGTTTAGTGTAGGGGCCTAAATAATTACCAAAACTATTCCGGGGGGTGGGGGTCCTGATTATAATTATAGTATAATGGGGCCCAATATTTATTTTTACACTACCGGGCTTGAACGTTTAAGGGTTTAGGTTTAAGGGCTTAGGCTTTAAGGCTTCAGGCTTGGTTCCCGCTTTGAGGTTCAGGTTGCCAGGTGACTACTTCATCTGTTGTGGTGTAAAACAGTGAGGACCCTCAGGCTAGCCCCGATACTTACACACTACACCGGACAAGAATGTGTCGATTATGGCTCGTTAGTGTCGCCTACATTCATGCTGGCACAATGTTACAGTGCTGCTCGGTCTCTTGGCCCTTCGGGTCCCTTTTCCGAATCAACTTACATGAGAAATTTGTGCACTCCGGCAATTGCAGTCGAATCGTACAGCTGTTGTTGCATCTCGGTCCGCAGGTGGCCTGCGCAAGGCGCACAGATGATGCCTGGGCAGATGATGCCCGGGCAAATGATGCCCGGGCAAGTCATGATGCCGGGGCAAATGATGATGCCGGGGCAGATGATGCCGGGGCAGATGCTTCCTGGCCAGATGATGCCTGCCGCGCAGATGCTGCCCGGGCAGATGATGCCAGCGGCGCAGATGATGCCGAGCCAGATGATGCCTGGAGCACAGAGCCTCAGCTCAACGCAGCGAGGGCAGAAAGAAAGAGAAGACAGAGGGAGGCAGGAAACAGTACAGGATAGGGGGAAGGGGGAACGGGGTGAGAGGGGGACGCGGAGCGGGACTGGATAGGGGCAGGACTTTGCGAATTCGACGCCTTTAGCTGCAGGCGATTAGCACAGTTGTTCTCGTCCTTGTAAGCAGAATCTGTAGGATGCCCCCTGATTATGCTGAGCCTGGTTCCCTCACCCAGGCGATGGATTTCTAAATGCCGAGTCACGGTAGGTGTGCTTTCGGCAAGTCCCAGGTTCCACTTGTTGCCCCGCAGCATCTGCATAGCTATTGGAGTAAAAATGCTTATCTTGGTTGCAGGCTTAGGAAGGCAGGGCTGTCATGTTGTTCGCTCGCTTGGTCCCGAAGCATTGGTCATCGTAGGATTAGAACAGTGCGTGTCGGGTTCTGGAACTGTACTGCTAGGTAGAGCATGTGTGCCCCGCTGGCAGGACTCACCGCAAACCCCACAGTTACTCACTTACCCCAAGCCCAAGTGTTGCACCAGAACTCAGAAAACCAAGGGCTCTACCTGGGAAGCTAGGAGTCTGAGTGTTCTTAGGACGCCGTTGTATGGTTTTGATCCTTTCGATGTCACTCGCTGTTCAGAGGGACCTGCCGAGAAGTAGCTTGTTTCTGGCGGTGAGTAGAGGCTGGTACAACTACAACTAGACTACGCACCCGAATCAGAGAAACAGCAATCATGGTCAACAAAACTTGATTAATTACAGCATTTAACAATGATGGTGTTGTCACACATGAAGTAGAAAATGATGGGTTCATACCGTAGCCTAAACCCCTAAACCCAAGCCTTGAGAGTTCTTGAAAAGCGCGCGATGCCAGACAAGTAGTAGGCTTGGGGGGTGTCCAGCTGAAGCTGGGGCTTGGTGCACAGCGTTAGTTTTGGAGGCTTTCATGACTATATATATATATATGTATATATATATATATATATATATATATATATTTATGTATAATGGCTATTAATGGGTTTGACAGTGGGTTTTAAGGGGGTGTTATTATCTCTTTTCCTCCATTCTCACGAACCAAAGAAGCACCGACTCATAAAGTGTGGAAACGTATCCCCCATCCACCCACCCCAAACATAGTATATGGGTAGTTGTCAAAAACAGGGTCCCTGTTTGGGTACCCTAAATAGTAGGTGCCGCATTTTATTAAGGATCCAGAAAGGGACCATAGTTTTGACAGCCACTCATATGGATAATCATTCAGACCCCTGAAGAAGGGACTAAGAGTCTGGGAGTTTGAAAACGTAGGTTTAGGGATTTAGGGGTTTAGGGTGTAGGGGTTTAGGGGCAGCAAGGGTCAAGGGTGCGAGAATTGGTCGTTTAGGATTTTACTTGAAGGATCAGGGACTTTGTGATAGTGAGTAAGAGTTCATCTTGGGTTAGAGCTATAAGTTACCTGGGGCGGCCACACTTATAGCATGCACGCGACGTACCCTGGTCTTCAGGCAGCGCGGGGCTTCGGAGCGTAAGCTGCTGTTGACGTTTAGGGGTAGGGCGCCTCGGCTCACAGAAACTAATAATTAGTATCTAAGGTGTCTAGTCACGTGCGGAGGTGAATGTATTTAGCATTCGGCTGGTAGAGTTTCCCCACGGCCGCAGCAGCATCTAGACTTCAATAGCCCTTTTGCGTGCGTAGGCTCCCTTATCTTGTTTAGTCAGCCCCTGTGCAGCACAGCCTACCGTAAGGATGGCTCCAATGGGGCACATGATGGGGCCCGGCGTGCAGACGACCCCTCAAGGCGGGGCAATGGCCAATGCCGGACCCCCGGGGCAGTTTTTAGACGGAAAGTCTCATGGAAAAGGGTCCTATATTGCTGTTCTTCTCAGTGCCTTGATTGTTGACGTGTGTCGGGTTGCAGAACTCAGAAGAGGACTCGAACAGGGACTTAAACAGTCGGATCCTGATAAGGATCCCTAAGCAAGGTGGCACGGACCTAGTTACTGTAGTAGGTTTAATGCAGTAGTTTAGGATTACCGGAACATTGCTATCAAATCGAAACAACGGTACTACTTGTACTCATGGTAGTTTGAAATGTGTTTGTGATCGTGGTCTTGGTGCTCCTGCTTAAGGCATACCGATTGAAGATAAAGGCGGCAAAATCTTCCGGGCTTGGCCCTGGCTACTTGCATTTCCCTGCTGGCGACGTGTCGCTACCACAGCTGCGGACGGAACATCCCCGCACGGGCGAAAGCAACAGTCACTAGAAAGACCACGACGGGAGACTACGAGCTCAACACGTCACAGGTGATCCTGGCATGTTTTCAATCATTGCCTTGGACTGCTGACACGGGTTCGTGGCACGTGTAGAAGCCCGCGCTTGCCCATGGATCCACGAAGCTGACAGCCACTGCCGACCCCAAGCTCTGCACTACTTGTAGCTTTGTGCTGTCAGTACCGTGAGCAGTTTTGCAACATAGTAAACACCTGCTGCCACAGCGTCTCAAGCCATCAAGTCCGCAATCAGATTTTCCGCAGGGAGCCTTGCTATTGCCATGCTTGGTGAATGCGGTGGGTGCATCGCCCTCACTTGGCTCTGGTATCTTCTCACCCGACCGAATGAACCCGTCAAAGATCAGAGGCCAGGTTCTATGCAGGCAACTTCCGCTGGCTCTATCGATAGGCAGGTGAACCGCTCAAGACCTGAAGGCCCGAGTCAGCACGTCCGAGAACAAAGGAGGAAGGTCGACCACTCACGACCTCGTGGGCCCATGCAACGTTTCCACGTACAGCGGCCAGATGACATGCAGGCACTTTCTGCAACCTCGTTCATGCTGAACGGCACTACTGTTCGAAACAGTAAGGTTCCCTTTGAGTATGGCTTCATGCTGGGCAGCACTCGCTCAAGTCGAATGTACCATGCTGGACTGCTGTTCAAGTGTGAATTTGATGTTGACAGTGTGAAGTATAGGTTCGCCTCCGCCGATCGAGTTCACGATGGCATTGAGATATACTTCTTCAACACTGAGGAGTCGGCCGATGAGATTTCAAGCGGTTTCAGTGTATCCACGATGGGCAGGACGATCCGTTCACCGACTATTTAGTAAAGTCCTGGTACCAATCCTGGACCCCAGCAGCACAGCTGCACGACTTCATATGCACCGAGCTGGCACGCAAGTTTGACATCTTTGGCTTCAAGTACCCTCAGGACTTGGCAAACAAGCAAAAGCTGACAAACTGCATTGCATTCACATGCCGCGGAGGGGCGGTAATGGCACGTGATGAAGACTGCTTTCTTGCCGACTCCTCTGCGGTAATGGCTCAGCTTTGCGATCGCCGTCGCTCGTAATTCTAAACTTCGTAATTAATTCTGAGGAACGACATCGCGGAACCTATCACTCCTATCACTGGATTCGGCAACATAAAGATCCTAATAATGACTGGGGGCTTCTTGATCAGGTTCGTGCTCGTACTTCCAAATTCGGGGCTAGTGGATGGTACCCATGCTCCGCTCGATCCCGATGCCGTCCGGTTGCAGGACAGTTGCGAAAGGGATTTCTCCCACAAGTGGTTTACCCTTGCGCATTGTTCCAGATGTGAAAAGGTTCTGCGAGTTTGCTGCAAGTCTCTCTGTATTCGGTCGCACAGCAATGCACTCAAAGCACGTTTGTCGGTTGGCTACTCTGACTCCAAAACAACCGAAGACCTCGACCACAAGTCTTCCCCAGCCAGGTACAGCAACGGCCACGACTACAACCTCTGCAGTATGCATCCGGCTCTACTAGTTCACAGCGTGGGTCTTTCGGAGTACCGGCTGAGGATTGTGGCACATTGGGTTCCGGAATACTATGGCGTTGCTGTTTCTTCGTGCTGGAATCCTGGTTGGAACCACGAAAGAACAAGTGCTTGGAAGCGTTTGGCCCGGCTGCTTCGGAGCGCAGTGGAGTGTTAGCGATCAGCAGACTCTCGGTACACCATCTGGGCATACAGCGAACACCTGACCGAAGGCGAGACTTCTCATGACCTGACGAGAAGCTACCAAACGTGGAAGCTAAACCCTAAACCTCGTTTCTGTCTTGTTTCTGAATCCTAGTCGGCCCATGTGTGGGAAGTAATTACCTTAAGCATGCCTCCAGTGTCCGACTTGGGATGCTCGTAACATGGGTAGTCCCTCGGATGGGGGTTCAAGATCTCGGGGCCTTGCAGGGTTTCTGAAGGTGTTTCATACATCTCCTTGTATCGACATCCTGACTAAAAGGAAACCGAAAATGTGCAAGAGGCATTTACACCAGGTTTTGCGGCCACGAAACGTACATGCTAACATGACCCAGAGCTCAAAGGCAGCCACGTTCTGCTGGTGGCTGGATCCTTTGGTTCCGGAAATCCTTCCCTGAAACTATTCCCGCAGTTTTTCCTTTTAGTATCTCTGGCGCCGGATGTTCTTCTAGACTGCTCCCATCTACGGAAACTTGGAGCAGAAACAGGGCGAAAGGGTAGAGACGGGAAAGCCATGAGGAGAAGACACGGGGAGCCAAGCAAACCGCAATGCCGCCGGCCCAAACAGAAAAAGATAACTAGCTGTATACAGCGTCCCAACATGTAGTTGTCAATGTGCATAGCTACGTCACATGCACTACATATAAGCTTTGTCGGTCGTGGTGCCGACGTCTGTCTATACAATCTGCTGACATAGAGAGAGTTGATGAATTCTCGGGCGCCTCGCATGCCTAGTGCATACCTCTTTCTCTGTGAGACTCCTCCGTGGCATGGTGACGTACTGTTGTTTTTCTGTGTGTGAGAGAGAGAGTGTGTTCTACAATAGAACCTATGCAGAACCGTGACAGCACACCTTACGACGGTTGATGATCAATACATCATCCATCCTAAGCCTGTAGTCGCACGTAGCTTTGCTTCGTTCCTTTCCTGCAGCAAACTTTTGCAAAGGCATCCAAGAGAAGTTCTGAGTTAACCCTATGTTTCGGGACGACTGAAGGCTTCGCAGCTGCCCTCTGACCTGAACAAACTCTCAGACAAGGCCTGGAGGGCTTTGTGTTTATGCTAGGGCTGCTAGGGATTTGGGGAGACCAGGTTTTTGATCTTTCGGGCTTAATGGCATCAGTTTATAAACCAGGCACAAGCAATGCTTACATCTTCGCAGCGCTTACTAAGTCCCATGACCCTCCAAGTAGGGTCTGGGTTTGGGGTTTATTCCGAGGGTCATGGATCGCGGTAGGCAGATTGCTTGTAAAGTTAGCTCAGTTGCCTTGAACTCAAGACAGTGGGTGGTGAGGGATCCGAGCTCTAATCGGCAAAATAATCTGTAATAATCTGTATAGTTCCTTTATTGGCATGCCCAACCCACCTCCCCCCCCCCCGCCCGGATACTCATCCTCGGGCAGGCTTGGTGGTCGCCCTCCTTGCAAACCTACATCTCATAGAGGTTTGAGGTGTGTGGTGTTTGACTTGGGATAAACGATTTGGGCTTGATGTGTAGGGTTTCGGCCTTGAGATTGAGGTTCAGGGCTTTCGGTTTGGATCTCAAGACGCGCGTTTCCTTGGAAAGTTTGGAGTTTGTGTAGCGCTCGGTCCCCCAACCCTAAGACCCCTAATCAAACTCCTACACCCGGACCAGGAGATGAGGCAGCGACTGGAGGAAAGTCGCTTGATGCAAATAGGGGAGCCTCCTGTTCAGGGTCAAAGATGGCCCGCGGCAGTTTACCGCGCACCTAGTGTTTGGCGTTTAGGGTGCTTGAGCTTAGTACTCAAAGCGTTTAGGACGTCTGAATTTCTGGGTTGCTGCTCTGACTTGAAGGATCAGGGGGCGTGGCAAGCCTGAGGGGCTTAGATGCTCTGACAGGGTTTTGATGGGGTCCTGAGGGTTGGCTGTTGCAGTCGCTTAAACAGCGCTACAAGTGGGGCTGCAACTAGGACAACCACGCTAATTACAGTCCCATGATACTTCAAGTAGCCGGTTAAGTCAAGCTGTCTTGTTTTCTTGCGTATCGGAAAGAGAAATCAGTAGTGTGTCACACAGCCCGACAGCGTTGAGGGCCGAGGCTGAACGGTTTTCGGGCTTATAGGAATGCTGGAAGAATCCAATAGGTCGATCCTGTGGAGCTCTTGTTAAGTACCCTCCTTGGCTGAATAGTTTACGGTCTGAGGGTGCGCATGGACGTGCTTCTGAGGTAGGCCCTCGGCTCATCAAATCAGGGAAGACACCGGCCAGCCTCCGACTCAAAACGCTTTAAATTACAAAGGATGCTGTCATTCAGTGTTCAGATCACTAAAGTGTCCTTGACATCTGGACCCGAACACCGAATCTTGAAAGACCCCCATGTCGTGACCCCAAAATTTTGAATCGGAAATCCAAGAACCTGAAAAAGGTTGTTTCAAGCATAAGCCAACAAGAAGAAAACTACAGCTGAAACCTGCTTATGATAAGAGTTGGAAAAACAGCTCCGAGCAACGTGCCGAGAGGTGTCGCCATGCTCTCCGATGAGCAGCTTGACGAAGAGCTGAAAAGTGCAGGAGCAATTTAGGGGCCGGAATACTCGTGTTTGCGTAGATATCGCTATATGGGTAGTTGTCAAAATTATGTTTGGGTACTCTAAATATTAGGTGCCGTAGTATAATACGGATTCAATGAGGGACCATAATTTGACAACCACCCATATAACCACAGGGCTATACAGGGTTCAAGTATTTCGAACTATTCAGATTGATTTGGGTGGTCGTAAGGGGTCGTTGTCTTAGAGGGTCCAGGGCTTTGTGCATTGAAGGTTGGTTTGGATGTGGGGTGTCGGTATTTGGACTCGTCTTATCCGGCATCCTTTCTGAAGCAGCTTGCCAGAGGCCTTCACGGTAGGAGTCGTTTTGTTCAAGGGCTAAGGTTTATTCCGGAGATTTTCTCAGGGCTGCAAGAAGGTGTGACATGGTTTCATGAAGACAGGTTGTCATTGGTTTTGCTTTTGGAGCTCAAGTCACTTGCTCTTTTTTGCTACGTGCGCTACTTCATCTTGCAATACTAGTTACGCTGTCCTCATTTAACTGCTTCTTTACAGCCTGTGAAAAAGCCAAAAAAGAAAGTGAACGGAATGTTGCCTGGTTTAGGCATGAGTGCTCCTCCTTTAGGATGAGTGGCTCTTAGGGCTTAGGATTTATTGATCACGGCGAGCTACCTGTAAGCCAACATTCAAGACAAAGGCCGACATGAGCTTTAGGCTTCAGGGTTTTTAAGCTGTAGGCGCTAGGGCTTCAGCATGCAGGGGCTTGGGGTTTTGAGTTACGGCAGAGCAGAACCATCATTGGACGGATCCGGAAGAACAGCCAAGGCACTGATGCAGGAAAGCCTTGGCAAGACCCTCAAACCCGAACCCGATAATCTGAATTGAGTTTGCACTACGAGTCACTATCACGTGGCATACTACACTGTAGGATTATGTAGTAAAGACCACTCTGAAGCATTGTAGCGCCCCCGCACAATGACGGCAGTGTTCCGCTCTTGTCGGTGTGTAGTTCCGGGCTAGATCGCATGGTTTATGCCACATTCGGTGCTTCTATCCTTGCTTACGAAGCAACAAAGCCACAGAAGAAGTGCTTCCACATGGAACATGGGACCCTGACAGCTTTGCCACAGAGCCTGGCAGATTCGACGCTTTGTCACATGCCTTGCGGCTTCGGGTTTCGCCAGTACTTATCGTCACGGAGGTGTAATGTTCTATCGGTTGGGTGCTACTGCTGCATGCCAGGCGTCACTTGATGTTCTGGGTTGCCAAGACTGTGGCAACTACTTGCTTCTGTTTGAACCCCCACACTGCTCCCTAGACGAGCTAGGTAAAATAAACTGGAAAGAGTATCCTAGCGGCACATGGGTCAAGACAGCTGCAATCACTAGCTCTCAACCCTATGCCCTCAAAGCCGCGAGCTGGAAGTGGTCTTTTCGGGCTTCTTACAGGGTCATGGGACTTAGTAACTAGGGTCATAATTAAGGTAGCTATACCTATAAGTGCTTATCGCCCCGATTAGAGTACTTATAACCTTACTTACTAAGTCCCATGATCCTCCAAGTAAGAGCCCTACTTAAACGTTCCGATTTTGGTAAGTGTGTTAGGGGGTTAGTTTGAAACCCATACTTGCAAGACTTTGTGGCCAGGAATTCAAGTGCCTGCAGATGCCACCCGAGCAGAGAAGGCTGCAGCCATTGAGGGCTGAAGATGTTCATTATTTTGAGCTTCAGATTTGGGGTTGCTTTAGTCATAGGGATCCTTAGGGGTGTAGGGGGGAGGGGTGTAGGGGACTATATTTCCTTAAATAGGCCTTATTCGTCCTTATTATGGGCCTTAAGGCCCCCTACCCCCCCTCCCCCTACACCCGTAAGGATCCCTATGATTTAGGCCCAGGACTCCGATTTCAGGTTTACGGTTTACGTTGTCGAGTTTCAGGCTTAGTTTTCGAGGCTTAAGGTCTGGGTTTCGTGGGTTTTGGGTTTAAAGGTTGGTGTAGACCTGATGCCCCAAAAGACCTACCGCTGTTCGCACGAATAGCTACCCAAGAAAACACTCCAATTGTTCAGGCCCAATATTATCCACACCAAGAGCCTTGCAGAACTCTTGCAGACATCTAGAAGAGATGGTACGCTGGCAGCATCGACCCGGTGAAAGTCATGTCCTGACCTGTATCCCATCTACTCAAAGGCTAGAACCCCCAAAAGACTGCAAAAAGATGTCCTAGAATTATATGCATTAAGATGAGGCCGTTTGAGGGGCTCTCTTCTTTGGAGTCTTCGGGCAGCCCGCCATTTGACCATCGTGTGGCTCGTCCAGAAAACGGCGAACGCGCAGTGGTCCCCGCAACAATGACATGAAGACCGGCAGGACTAACGTTGAACCAATCCTTAGAAAGCCGACTACCGACCTCTGCAATAGCTCATGCCCTCCAAAAAACCCTAAGACCTAATCACAGATCCCCATTGGCCCATGAGCAAAGCACTACATAAACTTCGCGATGCCGTGCAAAATCCTATTGACACCCGTTTCAAAGTATTATTGAAGTGCAGATGCACAGGTGCAGAAGTATTTGCACATTGACGCACCGCTGAAAGCACCGCAAGTGCCCAAGCAAAGACAAGGCTCTAAGATCCGGGTGGTGTTTAGCATTCGCGTTATAAGTTTTGCGGCACAAGGCTTAGACATGGGGTGTACAAGTTTTGAGGTGACAACTGACAATTCAACTCACCCCTCCGTGTGCCTCTCACGCATCGACCTGCGATCTATCTGGAATGTTTGCCAACGAGGAGACCCTTCCAACTGATGTAGCCCGTGATTTGTCAACCCACTCCCGTTAAGGGTCTTAATGTTAATGTTAGGATCCCTGTTAACGACTGCCGCATCGGGTGCTTTTGCTGAAAACTCGGCTCGTGGCACACAGTTCGCATTCAAGTGCCTGGTGCTAAACCTCACAGGTTTCTGGGTCGTCTTGACAGGAAATTCAGGCGTCGGCATGAATAGGCGTTAAATTCCGTGGTCGTGATCATAGCAGTGAGAATGCCCAAGGCCCTCTTCTAGTCTTTGAGGCCCCTATACCAGTCTAGGTTCATGAGTAGTACCCTTTTGCCGCTTAGTCCTTCAGGAAAACCGAAAAAAGAGCAAAAAGGGTAGCCTCATTATTGCAGGGCTACTCTGGAACCGGGACTGAAGGTCAATGTCTAGCCACACGGAAGTCTATGGGTAATGCAAGCTCAGGTTGAAACTCATGAAAACGAGCTACCTTCGCCAGTCCTACATGCAATTGTCCAGACAGGATTGATTCAGGCATGCCACCTCCCAATTTCCAAGCCCCTACAACCCTAAACCCTTAAACCCTTGCACCCAAAACCCTATATGCTGGATCCCCGCCACAACGAGGCCTGCGGAGAAGCACCAACCCATCATGGCACGCTACGCCCGATCCTGAAAAGGGTTGAGGTTGAGGACTTGGGGGTTTGTGCTACCCTACGGGTCACCACCCCAAATACTAGCCTACATGACTGCTATCCTAGTAACCTAATTTACTGCTACAAGTAGCAAGCAGGAAAACCCGAATCCTTGCAGCCATAGATAGAGCACACTTACAACGGCGCACGATCCTTGCAATAAACCCAGCTTTACCCTAAACCCCCAAACCCTAAATCGTTTACACCCTGCAAACAGTACTGCAACCTGATTCCTGTTCCTCTGCAAGAAGTCTTGCTCTGCTTGTAAAGTTTTGACCGCACTCTACAACCTCCACACGACCCCTTTAGACAAGCCAAACGAAGACCGAATAGTTAAAACCCTAGAAAGTCTTGCTACTCTAACCCTTGTTAGGGCCGTATCACACAGTCTGAAAAAGTATTTTAAACAACGCAAGTATCGCATCAATAAAGCCTTGTGTAAAGTCCTTAACTTTGAAAACTTAATCCTAGACCGAAGCCCGTCGTGCCAGTCGTGTGACCCGAATCCTCCCACACCCTAAACCCTAAACCTGTAAGAGTTTAGGTTTAGGGTTTAGGGACCCTCAACCCCAGACCGTTTTTGTTGAGGACTCCCGTGGGGGAGAGCGCACTCGGGGGGATCGCCTGATGGAGCGTCGGAAGAAGTGGGTCGAGGATCTGTCTAATCCGGGTTTACGGCTTAGGGGCTTCGGGTTTGGGGTTTACGGCTTAGGGTTTTCTAACCCAGACCCCTTTAAGACACGTCTCAGGGTTCGAGAGCGCGATACGGGGTCTCGGGTCTGGAAAATCCAGCTGTTCAAGGATGTTTTTGGCGGATATTACGGCATGGTTGTACTCGCGGCAAAAACGGTACATTATGTCTATTGATTTCAAGCCCCGCATTCATCCGTGCAATAGAAGAGTTGTGTGTTGACCCCTGCACGGTCTGGGAATAGAAGGGTTCGAAAAGTCTGAATAGCACTTCCGAGGGCTTAGTACAGGCCCGACTGTCAGGTTTTCATAGGGCCATATAACCCAGACCCCGCAGGATCTAAAAAGGTAGATCCCCTTGTTTGGGACCCTATACTACCAAAGGCTCTTAATAGGAACCCCCGTGAACTGATCTACTTTATCTACTTTCTAGATCCTCCGGGGGTCTGTGAAAGGGTTGCAAGTCATCAGGTGGTTTCTTGGGCTTTTGGGTTTGCCTTAAAGCCCCCCCAAACACCTAACACGTGATACAGCAACCTGATTAAGAAACCTTGGGCTCTTATGAAGGCTTTGAATATTAGAAATATGTATCCTATTATTCTGGTTCATTGAACAAGGGTTTCTGAATCAGGCACCGACAGTGGCCCGAAACACCCAACCCCACATGCCAAACGCCAACACAAGCAAACTGAAGCCCGGATGGTGAGCCTCTGCTTGGACATGTGCCCGCAGAATAGCACCGCTCAGAAATTCGTTTTGGGGATCGAAGGCGATGCTGGGAACAAGTTCTGCATACTGTGCCGTTGCTTTCCACAGCACCGAAGATATCCACGACGACGATGATGAGCTTGTGTTTGATATGTTATCCGGTGTGTGCGACTGGCACTGCAGACAAGAACTTGAGGTATTCACTGACAGAGACAGAAAGCCGGTGCTCCGGGCAAGCGACGGAGAACTAGAATAACTACAATAAGGCGTGTGGCTTCCATTGTCTTTTATTGGAGCTATGGAATCCTGAGGAATGCTATAAATAGACATACCGATTCCTTAGAAATTGCGACAGGCCACCAGAATCAACTTAGATCCGGACGGGCTACTGTTGTCGCAGCAGCTGCCATATAGATCCTAAACCCAGAGAAGCCGAAGCCGCGAGGCTGAGGTCCTCAGTCAGGCACCACTACCCGCCCAGGGTGCTGCAAATGCCACAATCCGGAGCAGCCCTGAAATAGGTGAGAGAGCAAGTGAGTGGGTAGTGGACGAGTGAATGCATGAATGAGCGGGTACGCCGAGCTTTTTTGCCACAAATGCACCCATAAGGGCTTTGACAATAACAGTCTACGCATCATTTTCTCGTCCCGGTATCATGACGTGCAGCTAGTGATTCGCTCGCCGTCACCGGTGTCGTTACCCTCTTCATCATCTTCGTTGATCAGCGCCACCAATGTCATCGTTCTGAAGGTGCTTGTAGCGCCGGTGTGTAACACGGCAGTGCTGCCGGGCTTGGTCTGGAAGTCGAAAGTTCGAACTCTCATGCATGTTACAAACAGGTACAGACAGATCTGTATAGGAGGTTTTGCAACTACATAGAGTTGCAGGCCTGCTGTGCACAGAGTTCCAACACGACTGAAAGTTGACATAGGTTGTAGCAAGCTGAGCTACAAAACCCGAGTCCACCGCGGCATAGCCGAGCAGGACAAAATCATTCTTCCATCTTCGGTACTTTTAAGTCTGTGGCACAGCCGAGCAAGTAGAGAAGGCACTTCCGCAGAGGAAAAGCAAACATTGTGAATTGCCATGCTGGCTGTGCAATGCCAGCCTGCCTGGCAGTTTGAAACAGACTGTTCCCAGCACGGCCTTGCCGGGCTTGCCCGGCAGCACTGTTTGTAATATCCGTTTGGGTGGGAGGGGCGGGGCGTCGTTTTGGTAGGAGGACCTTTTGAGTGGACAATCACAAACAAGATTTGTTTTGATCGATCTGAGATTGAAAGTTTTATAAAAGTTTTGAGAGAGTGTTTCAAGTTTCATGCAGCATGTATCCTTTGAGTCATGTTTGGTGCTGAGAGCACTCACTTACATCGTATATCCTCAGGCTCAGGAGCAGGGGAAAATTTTGATCGTGTAGGGACTATCTTTCACAAACATCGTTGTGACGCATGACTGGTCAGCAAACTTGCTTAGCAGCTCCAAACTTCAGGACTTTGATCGCGGTAGCCTGGCAGCCTTGCGGCCCATGGACGGCCATGAGTGGCGCAGGTCTCAGCTGGCCCGCACTCGTGCAGCCTTACCGCGGTCGACTTGAAGAGTGGTTTGGCACGCCAGAAAAGCTTCATGCGTCCTTTGACACTAGAGAAGAGCTCGTGAAGTTGCTTAGGAGCTGTGATAAAACTTTGCTAGAAAGCAGTGTGGCCTTGATTGCAGACGCTCTTCTTGAATGGCATACGGACGGTTCCCGCTTGGTAGCCAGTGGGCGCAGGGAAGCAAGGAGGCGCTTGACAGAGTGCTTGCCCAATGTCCCGGGAACTGGCCTTAGCTTGCATGAGCATTACAATCAGATTGCGCTGCAGAGTCCACTTGCGTTGCTACCGGTGCTTCGCAAGCGAAAGCTAGCTACTGACAGGGTTGTGGATCGCGGTGCTAGGGCCACGGAGGAGACACGACTTCGGCAGGAGTATGCATTGCGTCTTGCAGCCATCATACAGGATGCGCAGTTGCCGGTGTGCAAGGTGCTTGCAGGGGTCAGCAATGCCGAGGAAGCCTGGCCACGGTTGTTCGGGACCCGCCGCTCCAAGACATAAGGAATCGCTTTAGGGCTTGGGATAAGTTTCGGGAATGGTTGGTTTATAGCCGTGGCAGAAGCTATCCGGAAGGGGTAGCGGATGTGCTAGACTATGCCAATGAAAGATTTCGAGAAGGATGTGGAAAGACTGTGCTCGAAAGCTTGCAAGCATCTCTCAGTGTACTTGAAGGTGTAGGGCGCGTGCCGTCTACGCAGCAGATATCTCAGGATCCCACATGGCAGGCACAGCTCAAGAGTTACACAGCGGATTTGATTTCGGCGGCACCGCCGGAGCAGCCAGCCAGCATGCTCACCGTTGCTATCGTTCTCTCATGTGAGATCTTCATTTGCACGCCTGAGGAGCCAGGTTACTTGAGGGCTTTGGGCTTGGTGTGCTTATTGATGGTTTGGGGCTCACTTCGAGCCGATGACGTTCAGGGGCTCCTGCCGCAGACCATGATGCTAGACGAGCGTGGGCTGAGCATTGATCTCGCACGGTCCAAGACCACAGGGCCCGACAAGAGGACCCACACCGTCAAGGTTTTCGTGGAACGGAGGATCTCGCTGACAGGGCATGATTGGCTGAAGACCGGATATGAATTGTGGAAGGATTTCGATTTTGAGAGGGATTATTTGGTCTTAAAGGCCAATGAAGGTTTCACGGAACCCCTCGAGAAGTCGGTGCCTGCCTCCACGGTGGCCCTTTATTTCCGCAAGGTTCTCAGTGAATTGAAGACGCCCAAGCGGGAGGGGCGAACTTGGAAGGCCAATGATCAGCGTCCGCTGCTCCCAGGATACACTTCCAGTCGTTTTACGGGTCACTCTGCTAGGAACTTCCTTAGCTCGGTCGGAGCGGCCATCGATGTCGACCCCAGGGAGCTGGACTATCTTGGCCGCTGGAAGGTAGGTGGCGAAGGGTCTGCAACATACATTCGCACTTCTAGGCAGGTTGTGCATCGTCTTCAGAACCACATTGCCTGTTCTCTTGTCAGCGGACAGCCGAAGCACTACATTGAGGTGGATTCCATCAAGGCTTTGACGGATTATGCAGCTAAGGCTGGAGAGAGCGAATCTCAGGTTCGTCGCCGTCACAACCTCCTCGAGGGAGCAAAAGGCTTAGGCGGATCGTGGCCGACTCTGGCATTGGAAGTGGGTGTTGAGGCACCTCCGTCTCCAGTCGAGCAGGTCTTGGCATCAGGCAGCCGGGGGGATTATTTCATCGTTACCTCTCGCACCACAGGCCTGAGGCGTTTGCACATGTTGGGTCCCGAGAACTGTTACAATGTGAGATTTGTCAATCATGTCGGCGCGGAGGACGTCGATAACATTTGCAAGGATTGCAAAGCAAGAATGAAGGAGGAATCAGACCCCTCCAGCAGTGACAGTGGAAACGAGTCAATGTGAAGTCAAAAGGTGAGCACGCTTGCTGTGTATAGGCCATGCCCTGCAAGTCCTAGTCGGAAGCTGGCGTGAGTCGCATTTTGCAAAGGGCGCCTTGAAGTAGATCCGCAATAACATTTCATGCTGATTAAGTGCACGTGCTGGTGCTGTTCAAGCAGGAAGAAGTCTCACTCGGCGCAGGCCGTGAGGTGCCGAAGGAAACCGCGTCCAGTCACAGGCCTCAGGGCGACGGGTGAACCCAGTGCAGTGCAGCCAAAGGCCTCAGGGCGGCTAGCGATCAAAGTCCTACAGGGCCACAGGCGGGAGCGCGGCCTTCGCATCAGGTGTAGCTGGAGTTAGTTTCTGTTGTCGCAATGGCCGCCACAGATGCCGAGAAGCGCGAGCTCATAACTGAAGCAGACAGCGACTTGCAGTTTGTGCTCGGCGAAGCTGGCTTGTCTCTGGACGCCCAGTATCGAGTGGTGCAGCGACATACGACACTTAGGCGATTCCAGGCTATCGCCGACTCCCGGCAGGAAGCTGGGGCTGCTGGAAAGGCTGACTTCGGATTGGATGATCAGGCTCCAGAAGGGCGACAACAAATCGCTGGGGTCGTCGCCGCCTGGGAACTAGCGCGCGACGTGATCAACAAAGAGACGGAAACGAGAGCAGAGGCGAAGGTGTTAGGCCAGCCGCGCATCTTGCAAGTCACAGAGAGGCAAGCAATGCTTAAGGCGGTAGCGGCCGTTCACGGGCAGTTGGGAGAATCGGAGACTCCATCATCTGAATACCTCGCTCTCAAGTGCGA